CACAGGAGTGACCAAGTAGGTTTATATATCACATTTCACGCTTAATTGTTCTTTTACTCCACGGTCAATTGATGGGGTCAATACAATTACCTCCCACTGCAGAATTACCCTATTAATAGAATCACAGAGCGTGTTGGGCAATCTTGGAGTTGACTTTGGGTAGATTGTAATCGTCATTCAGTCTGATACCTCAGTTTCAAGAACATTAAAGAAGCCTCATTTGACCACACAGAGGCGGGGCACCCAGGCAGGGCTCCTACCTCTTCTCCCTGCAGGTTACTGGCTACCCCAGGGCCAGCTGAAAGTATCCCAAGCCCAGAAGAGGTCAGAGACCCTGCAGCCTGAGACCTGGCTAGAGTCCCAGCTCTCCCACCCAGGGGTCAAACTATATGTCGTAGTCGTCCCCCCCCCCATCCCCGCCCCAGTCTCCTTCCTTGCAAACAGGAGAGAAAACAACTCCCAGAACTGCCATGGGCAGACAGTGCACTCACATGCACAGCTCATTGCTCATGTTCTTAGATTCCTGGAAAAAGTGACAAAAGGCATGTCACTGCTGAGATGGTGCCTGAGCTAAAGACTAATTTGGGCTGTCTGGAATGGATGCCATAACAGGAAGGTTTTTGTGAGCATGAGTATTTTATTTCTGAACCAGTGTCACAAATTATCTCGTTTTCAGTTATTCAACTTCTTTTTAAGAGACCCACTCAAAGAAATGCCAAAACAACAGAAATAGCTACGGTTATATAACTCCTGCTTATACTCCAGACCTCAGTCACAGCCTGCGATGGCGGTTAGTGTTCACAAAAACCCTGTAAGATGGGCCAAGACCATCGACCTCATCAGTCTTCTCCATAAATTAGGCTGTAAAGAAACACTTGGTGCTTCCGCACTGCATTTAAATAGAGAACTTTGATTTTTATGCAAGACAATCAGTATTTCTCCTGTTCTGTTGGCTGCTAAAAAAAAAATCATAGTTTCCTTCATTGGAGGACCAACTGAACACTGGCTTTTTAATGCTTTATTTTGAAAAGTTTCAAACATACATAAAAGCTGAGAAAATAATGTCTATCATCTATGCCCATGCACCATCGCCCACCATCAATAATAGCACTTTGGGATTTTCTCTCGTCACACTCCTATTCTTTGATGAAATAAGAGTGTGGGGGAGGGGGAGGGAGGAGGGGGAGAGAGGGAGAGAGAGAGAGAAGGCTTATGTACATTTCCTATAAGGATCTGGTTTCTGAGTCCCCTTCACATCACCCTCGACTGCAAACCTTGCAAACCTTCTAGCGCCTTCAGTCCCTGGTCCTACTCACTTTTCTCTCCTTGGCTGGCCTCTGTATACGGACAAATGTAAACCAAGCTCCGCGGAGCTTCCCACATCAAGCCCACAGTTATAAGAAAGTCGCTGGAGGCTCCAGTTAAAAGGACTTTCAGAGAGTTTCCAACACAAACCTCCATAGCAGAAGGCCACATTGGTTCAAGGATAACAATCAGGAAACGAAGACCCAGATGTGTGGGCCCTGAGCTGGGCTGCATCTCATCTGCTCCGCTCTGAGAATAAACCAAGCCTAGGTCGTCCCGGGACCACGTGGTTTGATCGGCTTCCTAACTGGTACCTCCAGCTCACTCAGCCCACACCGCAGCTCAATTAGGCTAACAGCTTTCTTCCCACTTCCCGGCTGACCACTACCCCAAAGCTACCAGACTCCCTCCTTACAATCCCTGGCGTCTTGTTGCTTTGGAACTTGTACCATAAAAGAACACAGGATGGAGAGACAGAAAACTACGTTTGTGTCCCACATGCTACACCTGTTCTGCGTGACCTTGAACACACCACCTCTTTCCAAGGACTCCGTATCACCATCTGCAAAATGGGTAGGTTGGTGGATGCCCTCGTGGCCCCAGCCTTCTCTCCCGGGTCCGCTCTCAGGGGAGGCACCGAACTAAGCCTCGGCTCCTCCCACGGTCCCCCATGCTGCTGGCATTCCAGGGCACTGCATCCTTACCTCCCACGCCGAGGTTAACCTTGCGGGGATCAGGATCCTCCCGGAAGTCCGCAGTGAGCTTGAAGACCAGAACTGGAGGGGCCTGCGGAACCTGGGCAAAGACTGACGGAGGCGCCATCGTGATGGAATCTGCCGAGACCTCGAGCGCGAGCCCGGAGCTGCTCGTTGCGGTGCGGAGTGCGATGACCGGAGGAGACACTCACCTTCGCCGGCGGGCGGGGGCAGCCCGCGGCTTCCAATGGCCGAGCCGCGTCCGGAACTTGGCAACGCGCTTAGCCAATCACAACCTTCCGACAAAGATGGGTTAGGCGGGACCAGTCTCTAGCAGCCAATTCAAGAAGAGAATCTTATCGGAGGCTCGCATGATGCAACCAGTGAGATTTACACCGGAGGCGGTGTGGGCGGGGACAAGGATGATTGGCACAGCTTGTTCCAATCGCTGAGGCTTTTATTCCTTGCGGCGATGAGGATGTTGCGAGTGGCTTGAGTCCCCAGAGGACAGACTCCTTGACCTTCTGGGGCCTGGAGACCTGGCGCAGTGGCCCGCCGTGGGAATTGCAGAGGGCAGGTGTCCCTGTACCCGCTGAGCAGGTGGTTGTCCCTGCCAGGCCCCGGCAGTGCGCACGTTCCTGAGCTGGCCAGGCCGGGCTGACAGCCAAGTCCCCGGCATCTGTGTGCCGAACTCGAATGGTCAGCCTGGACACGCTGTACTCGAGCGCGGGTGACCTTGATCATCTCCACTCAGGATTTCCCCGGAAAGAAACCTGGCAGTGCCGTCTGCCTTGATCCCTGGCAGGCAGGGGGACTCTGCAGAAAGTAAGGGATGAGCACATTTTACTCCCGGATTACTCACAGAGAGTGGGGGCCTAGTCCGCAAGGACCTTCAAGGATATGGCGAGGCCTCCGTCCGTAGCATTCATCGACTGGCTGATACCCAAACTACTGCTTCTTTTTGTCAGGCCGCTGCTTCCCCGAGACATTTCTGCCCACATCCTTTCTCCGCCTGTTGGTTGACCTTGAAGATGTACGTCTGTCAGCCCTCCATAAAACCTTTCCTTAGCCCTCCCCAGTCTGGCTAGAAATCCCCCTTTCCTATGTATCGGGTGTTTTGCTGTCGACGTTACAATTTTGGAAAATGTTCTGATGTGTAGGAACCTGGCTCTGGAGCCAGGAAAGTTAGGTTTGGAGGCTGGCTGCCACTTACTAACTTGGGCAGGCCTGTTCCTGCTCTGTAAAGTGGAGATAATAGTGTTTTCCTCGGGGTTGTTGTGGGGATTATGTGAGTTAATACACATAAAGTGTTTAGTTGCATACAGTAAGTGCCCTCTAAATACTAGCTTTGTTACTGCACGTCACCCACACCCCCTTGTAAATGATATGCCGCTTTGCCTGGGAGCTGGCAAACCTCCCTCCGTTTCTTACACTAAATAGTCAACGACTGCTGGAAGGAGCCAGTTCCTTGGTATTCCGTGAGAAAACAGTATCATGGTTTCCTTAGGAGAACACCATAAACCTTCACGTGAGTTTTCCATCCAGAGGATAAACACAAGCCTAGGAACTTTGAGCGGTAGCTGCTGACCTTTTCTGTCTTTTTCTTTTAAAAACGTCACTCACAGCTAACACTGAAGGTCCAACAGACTTCATGTACTTTCAGTGCTTCCAGAAATCACAGCCTGAGGGCAACTGTGGAGGGGGGAATCTCCCCAGCCTAGCTTTCCTAGAATTTGATTTGCAAGTATGGTCTTCACAGCGTTAGCCAATAATGTCATGGTCACTCCCTGCGTCATTCCCAAAGAGGAAAGCAACCCTAGGTTACCTAAACACTGTCAGTGTGACTAAGATCAAGTAAATATTTCTCTGAGTGTGTGTGTGTGTGTGTGTGTGTGTGTGTGTTCGCTCTGTTTGTTTTTGTGTGTGTGCTTGTTCTGTTAGGTACAAAGCAGCACATATGTGTGGGCGAACATGCACCTGTGTTCACAGGTGCGGGGGCCACAGGTGAACGGCAGGAATCCTCCTCAGTTGCTCCCCACCTTATTATTTGAGACAGGCTCTCTCACTGAACCTGCAAATTCTACTAGAGACTCGCCTGGCTCACTCATTAGCACAGGAGTCAAAGTATGCTATCACACTTAGCTCTTTCATGGGTGCTGGGGATCCAAACTCACTTCCTCCTTGCACAGCAAGCTCTTTTCCAACTGAGTCATCTCCCAGATAAATATTTATTGATGGCCTAAACGGTTCCACAGTCAAACCTGTGGTGACAGTGTACCGGAACCGGATAGTTTTATGTCAACTTGATCCAAGCTAATGTCATCTGAGAGGAGGGAACCTCAACTGAGAAAATGCCTCCTTGAGAACGGACTGTAGGCAAGCATGCAGGGTATTCTCTTAATTAGCAATTGATGAAGGAGGGTCCAGCCCATTTTGGGTGGGGCCATCCCCGGGCTGGTGGTCTTGGATTCTAGAAGAAAGCAGGTTGAGCAAGCCATGAAGATCAAGCAGGTAAGCAGCACCCCTCATGGCCTCTGCGTCAGCTCCTGCCCTGCTTGAGTTCCTGGCCTGACTTCCTTCACTGATGGACAGTGTAGACCAATAAGTCAAATAAACCCTTTCCTCCCCAACTTTCTTTTGGTCATGGTGTTTCATTGTAGTAATAGTAACCCCAACTAAGACAGATAGGGACAAAGAAAGTTTTGTGTGCGGTTTTAGTTCCTGTCCCATTACACCTGAATTTTAGGGGACTGGAAAGGTGAGGAAGGAAAGCCTATGATGTAGGATTCAAATGTCCATTTTCCCCCCTCACTAACGTGAGTCTTAGATATTCTGTGTAGAACCCTTCTGTCTTGAGCCTTGTAAACTACCCCTTAAATAAAATATCAAACTTGAAATAAACAAGATGCCTCCCAGGTCATTGCTAATTTTAACACTTTGACTTGGAATTGACTCAACACTGCCTCCTTGCTGAAGAAATAATTCAAGCGAAAGGCTTATGATGAGCAGAACCAGGCAATCAAGTAAGGCAGCCAGCAGAGTGGCCAGGGGAAGTGCAGCTGAGGTAAGAAGAGGGAGGCTGGGAGCTGCATGGTCCACTGCAAAGTTCTAAAGCTGTTCAAGGCGGTCCTTCTGGCTCCAATCTCTTCTCTGAAAAAAAAAAAAAACTATGAAAGAGGAACTGGGAAGCCACACGGCAACAGTTGCTGCCTCTGGAATGAATTCCTTTAGAATCATTCTTCTGGAATTCTGAAGCTTCCGGGGCCAGCAATACTGTTCCAGAACACAGGAGGCACACGTGGCAGCTACCGGTACGTCTGTGATAACCCACACCTGCTTGTTTTACTCAGTCTTAACCCGGAGCACCCAGGATGTCTAACCTTAGGAACAAGTTGGGGCAGAGGAGTTGATCTTCCCTCACACTCGAGCACAGAACACTTCAGGTGGTTATATTCGGGTGTCTGTATCCTATCATAAAGGGGAGGATATCATTTACAAGTTGATTTTGATGCTGAATACATATTTCTCTAAAAACCCAAAGTTAGTAGAGAAGACAGGCTCAAGAGTCACTGTGTGGCCAAATGGTGGGGGCAATATCTCAAAGCCTGATAAGGGGTTTGTGTCCGGGGTTCGGTACCCCGATTCTCTTACTAAAGAGAGCAGTTAGTTTTCAGTTTCTCCGGATTAACTGGCTCGTGTGCCTAGGTGAGCCTTGGTGAAAGCTTAACTCTGTGCTTATCCCCAGATTGTCTTCCTTCTTTCCGTACAACTGCTCTACCAGCATATTCCCGCCCACCCCACCCCCAACCGAGACTATCTCCTGGTTCATACCAAACCAGGATGTGCCTTGCTGTGTCTTATCTCACAGAAGGACATGCCCGATGAGGCCTGGAACCGGCAGGATCTATACTTAGTTCCTGAACTGGATACTCACGTGTGCAGGTTTTATTCAAGGCTCCAAAGACCTTTGTGTTCCAAAGATACCAACAGGCCTGAGTGCTGTGAGTGCTATCATTTGCATTGACTGTAATTAACTCCCATAGCACCATTTAGAAATTGTTGCGCTGTATAATTTTTGTACTTAAGTATCATAGTACAATGGTTAAAAGCCTGACCTTTGGAAGTGGATTTCCTCTGAGTGTCTCAGTTTCCTTACCTGCAATATGAAGATAATAACAGTTCTACCACGGGTGGGGAGTGGGGGTGCTGGGAAGATTAACTTTGCTAATGCAACTAAAAGGTTTCATGTGAAAACTCTTTGAACTGTATTTCGCAAGAACTCAACAAAGGCTAACTGGGTTCGGCGAGTGTTAATAAGGCTCGTCGTCGTCGTCGTCACTAATGTCACAGACCCTTTGCTTTGAGAGTTAGTTAGGCTTTTTACTGAATGATGAGCGTCACAGGTGAATGATATCTAAGCGTGGACTCAATCAGATCCGGCTTTGCCTCTTACTCCTTGAGACGTTGAATTGCTCTTCCTATTATCTGTTACATTGTAGCGGATAGAAATGCACACAGCATAGCGGTAAAGTTATTATTATTGTCATAGGGATTACACTTTAGTCCCTAGGCAGTTGGAAAGTAATGATTGAGCTCTCTTTGAAGTCTGCTTGATCTGGCTTCTTGCAGATACATCCTCTGAGGTATCTTTTAGTGCATGCCTAAAAGCCCAACACTGAGGGGCTGAGGCAGAGTTTGAGGTCAGTCTTAGCTGCTTATTTAATGAGCCTTACAAGTTTTTGTAAAGATCCACAATGGCTATGAAAATCTAAAGGAAACAAGATAACATTCAAAAATGAATTAAAATATAAATATATTAATAACAGCATTTTATATCTTTCTCTGCAAGAGACAAAAATGTTTTAGAAACCATCCTATAATTCTTTCAACATATAGGGAAACCTTCATTTCCACTTAGGACAGTGGTTCTCAGCTTTCTTAATACTTCAACCCTTTAATACATTTTAACACCTTTAATATGGTTAGGGGGTCACCTCATGTTGTGGTAACCCTCAATCATTAAATTATTTTTGTTGCTACTTCACAACTGTAATTTTGCTACTGTTATGAATCGTAATATAAATAACTGATACGAAGGATCGCTGATGTGCAGCTTCAAAGGAGTCTCAACCCACATGTTGAAAACAACTGACTTAAAACACTACCATCAACAAAAATGTCACAAAGTATAGTGCCTTATCAAAACAAACAAAAAAGAGAGAGAGAGAGAAAATTGCTTCAAAATGACAGAAGACAAGCACTCGGGAGGCAGAGGCAGGAGGATCTCTGTGAGTTCGAAGCCAGGCTGGACCGACAGCCTCCAAAACAATACAGAGAAACCCTGTCTCTAAAACCAAAAAAAAAAAAAAAAAAAAAAGACAGAAGAGTAGGAAGGCATAGACCTTAACTTAAAGTCAAAATAGTCTCCTCACATTGTCCTGTTTCTGCCTAGATACGCTATAAATGTGGTGAGTCACGGCTAATGTCATGCCGACTCTTGAAGATTTCTTTTAATTTATTGTGTTTTCGTGAATGTAAGCTAAGTGTGTGCATAGGCTCAAAGAGGCCAGAAGGGGGCATCAGATACATTGGAGCCGGAGTTACAGGCAGGACCGGAATGGAGTTCTTGGAGCCCTGCAGGGTTACAGGCAGGCCTGGAACGGGAGTCCTCTGTAAGATCAGGAAGTGGCCTGACAGCTGCGCGCTCCCCAGCCCCAGCGCCTCAGTCTGTCTCCAAGTTGTGATGTCCTTTTCCCCTCTATTTATTTGGACGTGACCTTAAGTCCTGCGCTTTGGTGCAAGGTGGATGCAAATGAGAAGATATGGAGCACATTCGAGGTCTTTGTCGGGAACACGGTGTCTCTTAACTCCTAGAGCAGTATTTTAAGACACTGCTGTAATAGATGACTTTGTTCTTGTTCAAAGCCAACATTTCAACACTCGGCAGTAGAGGGCAGCGCTGCCCTTTTTTTGTGAAAAAAAAATGTGCATAAAGGGAAGGGATGGGGGAACATCTCAGAACTTACGGTTTTTGTTTTAAATTTTACTTTATCTATACATGTTCTTTTAAATTTTATTTTCCTTATTGCTTACGTGATTTTATAAAAAGAATTCATTATCTTCTATTGCTTAGTACAAGAAGCCCGAGAAATTGGTGAAAAACAGATGTTTCAGGTGTTGTGCCAGGGTTGTGTCTGGCAAAGGTACTCGGTGACGTGACCTTAGGTAACCAGATAGCAGTATTATACGAGCAAAGTAAAAGCTTTTGAACTTTCTAGATAGAAGTCCTTCTGAAGCAGGATGTGGCTTTTTTTTAATGTGTGTGAACCATACGGTCACAACCCTGACAATGGCTTCTAAGCTCTTACTCACTGATTTTATTCTGCAGCATCACAGAATCACTCTTGGGTGGCATCAGGGCAATCGCTGATGGAACACGGGAACTATGACTTTAAGGAAAGATGCTCTACGGGGTGAGAGAGGACCTTCTTTGCTGCAGTTGATCAAAAGCTGTGCAGAAACAGCCACGGAATGCTAGCCCCATTCTATTACACTGCGATCTGAATTTCCCTAACCAATAAAAGAAAAAAAAATCTGTGACTTTTGTACTAAATGTAACTCAATCTCATTGTCAAGAACACATAATCCTAATTTTAGCAAATACATAACCAAAGTATTCTTAGCATATTTGGGTTCTGTCCTGACCCTGAAAAGATTTTTGGCAGCAAGTCTTCAACTCCAACTTAAACAAACCTCCCAAGGAGTTAGTGGCAGCAGACAGTAAGTCTGGTCCTGGCTCTGCCTTGTGAACTGGGTGAGTTATAACCTTTGAGCCTCCTTTACTCTGCTCTTGAGTAGAGATGCCTCTGGATTTATTAGAAGGGCAGCTTGGAAAATACATAGGAAGTCAGGTGGTGATGCACACATTTAATCCCAGCACTTAGGAGGCAGAGACAGGCAGATCTCTGTGAGTTTGAGGCCAGCCTGGTTTACAAAGTGACTTTCATGATATCCAGGGCTACACAACACAGTGAAACCCTATTTCAGAAGGGGGGCTAGGAGGAGGAGGAGGAGGAGGAGGAGGAAAGAAGAAAGGAAGGAAGGGAGGGAGGGAGGAAGGAAGGAAGGAAGGAAGGAAGGAAGGAAGGAAGGAAGGAAGGAAGGAAATGCATATGAAAATGCTTTGAAAGGGCCGGAGAGAAGGCTCGGTGGTTAAGAGCTAAGAGCACACTGGCTATTCTTGCAGACAACCCTGGTTCAATTCCCAGCGCACACATGGCAGTTCACAACTGTCTGTAATCCAGTCTTATGGGACCCATAAGACTGGTCTCTGTGGCCACTAGGCACACAGTCACGTTCAGACAAAACACCCACACACATAAAAATAAATTAAAGAATAATGTTTAAATTGGTTTTAAAGCCATTTAGGTCCTAACAAAGTATTTCTAGCATTAACTGTTCTAAAGGCCTAAGACTTTCTGTCTTTTCTCATCTGGTGTCTTTATATTGCCTGGGGATATTAATTAATTGTCATGTATACTTAATCTCCCTTATGATTGCTAGTTTCTTAAGACCCAAAGCCATCAGACCTAACTTTTTGCATTTTCCATGACAGAAAGGCATTTGGTACATAATTAGAACATAAATATTTGTTGATTGATTAAAGACAAGCTGCAATACAAAATTAGCTCTTTTACTCTGGTTTAAAAAAAACACATAGCATACTATTTACTAACTTGACCATTTTAAGTACACTATGCATTAGTGTTAGTCGTGTTCACATTTTTCTGTGCCAGAAACCTAGACCTTCCCATCTAGAGTGATCTCTCTCTAACCCTCCCACATTGCTAGTTCCTAGTCCCAAGAACCTTCTTCATTGATTGAAGGGGCGGGGGCAGGTGTGGATGTGGTCACCCAAAGACTTCCACTCTGTTTTACATTCTTTTGGCTCTCCTTCCCTTATAGACAGTCTGTTATAGACTCTGAGCTGTGGGTTAGCCACAGGCCAGAGACCTGGGCAGAGGCACCAAAGAAAGTGCCACTAAAAAGCACTTTCATCAACTGTTTCCGTCTAGTACATAATGGAACATTTATGAGAATTATCAGGGTAAAAATACAAATTCAGGATAACAGAGTCTTGTTACTTCTGAAAACAATGATTTTTTATGTCTATGAGTGGTTTGCCTGTATGTATGCATGTGCACCATCTGTGTGCAGTGCCCTTCCTTGGAAGACCGAATAGGGTGTTGGATGCCCTGGAACCAGAGTTACAGACAGTTGAAAGTCATGATGTGGTGCTGGGAACCAAGCCCAGATCCTCTGCAAGAGGAATAAGTACTCCTAACTGTAGCATGATAACTAAAAGACCCAGAGACAGATACTGGGGTTCGAGCTTCAAGCTTCAAGCTGAAGATCAGAGAAGCAAAGCAGCCAAGCCAGTAGATCTTACCTCTTCCCAGCTTAAATGGCAACCCTGTCTCCACAAATCCTCAAAGACAAAAGGCTCTGAATTCCTGTCTCCTCCTCCTTATATTCCTATCTTCCTGTCTCCACCTCCCTAATGCTGGGATTAAAGGAACGTGATCCCAAGTGCTGAGATCACCCTTGTGTGAGCTGTTTCTTTTAGGACTGAATAAATCTCATGTAGTCAGTGTGTCCTTGAACTAACAGACCTGTCTACCTCTTAATCCTGAGTCCTGGGATTAAAGGTATGTACCATCATCACCTAGCTCCATGGCTGCTGGAGCCTCTATAGCTTGAGGCTGGTTTTGCTTTCTGAACCCTCATAATCCTCAGGCAAGCTTTAATAAATCATGCATAATATATCACCACACCTAACTACTGAGCAATCTCTGCAAATCCAACCCCCCCAAGTAGACAACTGATCACAAATAAAAACAGCCAACAAATATCCCCAAGTCACCCTTATTATTAAACTGGAGTCATACTAATTTATCAATGTTTACCCACCAGGCTGATAAAAATGTAAAATATTGATTAGCATTGACATCGTTGTGCAGTCAGTGCCTTTTCATAGACTCTCATACAAATAGTCAAGTTAAAGAGTGCATGCCATTTCTACTCTTAAGAGTTTACCCCAGGGAAATGTATACAAGTCTGCAAAGACAGGTAGGTTACACAGACATTGTGCAGTGCAGAACTGCTTTAACAGAAAACATGATGAATAATGGTATTATTTTATAAGCTCTCAAATCACACTTTTGTTGAAAACCAACAGATTTGAAAGTGATTTCATTAGAATACATATGAATATAGAGTCTAACGATGAAAATTGGGAAGAAAAGAGGACAAAGCAGAACTGTAATGTCAAACATATAATACTTTCAAACTCAGAAAATATTTTTCAGTAAAGTTAATAGCTGTGTTATGGTTTGAGGCTGCTTTGGAAACTTAGAAGTATTAAAAAGCACTTGCTAACCAGTTCTGGTGGAACAAGCCCTGAATCCTAGCACTCTCAGGAGGCAAAGGCAGTGGATCTTGGTGAGTTTGAGGCCAGTGTGGTCTGCATAGTGAGTTTCAGGACAGCCAGAGCTACATAGTGAGACCCTGTTTCAAAACCAAACAAACAAAGCCCTTGCTAACAAAGTGATGATTTTAAAAGTATAGGCCTAGAGATGGTTCAGCAAGCAAAGACCTCTGCCACCATAGTCACCAAAGCCTAACCACTTAAGGTCAAGCCCCAAGATCCACATGGATAGAAGAACACGGATTCTTGTAAGCTGTGATCTACTTACATCCATGCAAGTGCAAGCATGAGTGTTTGTACACACACACACACACACTAATAGATTAAAATATATATCCCTAGATACTCCATCTTACCATTTAAATAGTTCCTGATTATCTAGTAGCCACTCAAGAAGTAATAGCTATAGGAATAAATGAGTATTACTATAAATAATAAATATTGTAAATAATAAATAATGTAAATAATAGTAGCTATAAAAACAAATGCATATTAGGCTGGGCGGTGGTGGCGCACGCCTTTAATCCCAGCACTTGGGAGGCAGAGGCAGGCGGATCTCTGTGAGTTCGAGGCCGGGCTGGACCGACAGCCTCCAAAACAATACAGAGAAACCCTATCGTAAAAACCAAAAAAAAAAATGCATATTATTGTACTATCAGAGGTTTCACAAGAGTTGATGCCGATTACTATCTGAGGTTTTTCAAGAATGATGTCAATTCTCCTAGTGGCCAAGCACAAGTGTTCAGCAGATAGCAGGAGTTCAGTATTTTCCTGGATCTATCCGTGCTTCTAACTGCCCCACCCATTGTAGGGCTTTATTTATTTAACAACAGTTATATAGTACTTACTCTCTTCCAGGTACTGGCTAAGTGCTTTACAAACACTAACTCATTCTAGTTGTATAACAACTGAAGTAGGTGGTCTTATCCCATCTAACAGATGAGGTAATTAAGGCAAAAAGCAGTCAAGCAATTCATCCAAGTTGGCACAGCTAATCAAAATACTAAGGATGTGAACACAGGCAGTCTGGTTCCAGCGTCCCCACTCTACTTTGCCAGGCTGCCCCCGCCCATGTGACAGAATTTATAGAAGGCATGCTTTACTGAATCTTTTTGTTGTTGTTGTTTTGGTTTGGTTTTTTGAGATGGGTTTCTCTGTGGCTTTGGAGGCTGTCCTGGAACTAGCTCTTGTAGACCAGGCTGGTCTCAAACTCACAGAGAACATTATTGGATCTTAAAACCATACTATGCTTTAGTCAGAGGATCTTGAAATATTTTATGTTGTCATTCTTGGAAATCATTCCCATAACATCTGAGAGAGAAAAAAGCTTTTAAAATGCATTGTAGTATTTGGTTGGACCATCTGGCTACTGGTTTGTTTGTTTGTTTGTTTTTCAGACAGGATCTCACTATGTAGCCTGGGCTGACCTCAAGCTCAGCCTCCTCCTACCTCAGTCTCGCAAATGCTAAGATTACAAGCACATGCTACCACACACAGATATTATATTTACTAAGAAAGAGGGCGGTCCTGTTCCCACACGAGATCACTGCATTTGCTTTCTGACATCATATAATTTCAGTGGTAACAGTTCCAGTTTCTGAACAGAAAGAAAGCCTGCTGTAGAAATGGGGAAACACTAGAAGAATTATGTGTTAGAACTGTTTAGAAGGAGTAAGGTGTGTGTGTGTGTGTGTGTGAATTTCCATGTAACTATTACACAGGGGCTTCCAGTCATCCCCTAGTCCTAAATTTAAAAGTTTACATTTTCTTCAAGTTTAATTTTCATTTTCCTCTTAGTTTAATTTCATCCTGTGGCCTAATATCAGTGTTTCTTTGTCTTCATGACTTATTTATTCTGTCTATTGGTATTTACTGAGCATCTACAATATGCCAGTGTTCCATTAGGTGCTAAAAATAGCACAATCAGCAAAAAGACAAAGTACCTATTCTCAGGTATTCTACAGTGTAACAGAGGAAGACAGATAGCAATGGCAAGGCAGAATAAAGGCACAAAGATACATCTGTGATGTGCGCTGCCTGCCCTCGTGGAAGAAGGCGGCGCATTAACGGGAGTTAATCCAGTTAAAGCCAATTCTTCCTCCCTAGGCAT